CACACAACACAACACACAACACACACAACACACAACACACACAACACACAACACACAACACACAACACACAACACACACAACACACAACACACACAACACACAACACACAACACACAACACACAACACACAACACACAACACACAACACACAACACACACAACACACACAACACAACACACACACACACAACACACACAACACACACAACACAAAACACAAAACACACAACACACAACACACAACACACACACACACACAAACACACACACAAACACACACACAAACACACACACACACACACACACACACACACACACACACACACACACACACTCTTGGCATCGCGGCCACGCGCGCAGCGTCGCGGCGCAGAAAGTTGGGCGAGGAGACGCGCGCGGCGGGCCCAGGCCACGCGGCGTGGGGATACTGGGAGTGACAGCACCACCGGCGGGGGGGGCAGACGCGAGGAACAAAAGACGGGGAGACGGAGAGAAGACGGGGTGAGCGGGAGAACGAAGCCGTGCACAGTGCCTGGGCGAAGGGCGATGCGCAGCGACGGGCCGCAGAGGCGAGCCGTGGACGGGAAGCCGGCAAGCAGACCGGGACCCAAGGCAAGGCGGGCGCCGGGAGGAGGCGGGGCAGCGGCGAGCTGCAGCGAGGAAGGCAGCACCGCACGGAGCGGCTACACACTCACATACACGTGGGGATGACGAGAACACCCGGCGCGTCGCGCCACACTTTCACGCGCGCGTCAGACAAAGAGCTCCCTGGAAGCCTGTGCGAGCGGGCTCGACATAAGGCGCCCGGGGTGGCGAGGGCGGGGAGCGTGAGAGTGCCCTGGGCCCCCTCTGGAGCCCCCGACCTGGCCGCAGCCAGCGCCCCCCCCCCCCCCAACGAAAGCACGCCAAGAAACCAGACTCGCACATGTCTGGCCTCACGTGTGGCGGGCTCCAGAAGCCCTGAGCGCAGAAATCCGCCATCCCTCGGGGGCGCATCTCTTCCTTCCCTTTTTCAACGCGACTCCCATAGCCTAGGAAGCTTAGCGGGGGCTCCAGCTACAACCGTGCAAACGACGCGGCGCGATCGAGGTCGATCGATGCCCTGAAAGCGAACGGCGGGCTCGGGGCGACGAAGGCTGGCTTCCGCCGGCGGGGGCGGCCCCGTTCTGCTGCCGCGGGCTTCTGCCACCCCTCCGCCGAGGGAGAGAGGCCAGCGCCTTCGGGCCTCTCGAGGGAGGAGGCCCCTCCTGGAACGCAGCAGTGGCGGAACGTGCGGCGGCTCTCGTGCTGGATGCGGGTGCGCGAGCCTGGCCTGCGAGACCAACAGAAGGGCCGAGGGCCGGAGGGACGCCCGGCCCCATGTGTGCCCAGCTCTCGCCCAGGCTTAGCCGCGTCTTCTGCATCCCGCTTTCTGGTAGAGTCCTCCTCCTCCTCCTCCTCCTCCTCCTCCTCCTCCTGCTAGAGTCGACAGCGGCCGACCGCAGAACCGCCCTCAACAGAGGTGGAGGATCGGCCAGAATTCCGACTGGCGCCTGAATTCCTGGGGGAATCCGTTCTGCGGACACCTCGGCTACACGCAAGAGTGACCCTGGGCAAACGCGACCTTTGATGCGCGGCTTTTCGGAGCCGCGGGGGATCAAACCCAAGCTCGCAAGCCATCGCTATCGCACCGCGTGCAGCGATGTGGGGACCCCAGCGGGCTCGTACCAAAGGCCACTCCTGCGCATCCAAGCGGCCATCCAACCGCCGCGCGCGCGCGGCTCCCCCTTGATGGGACAGGCTTTTCATCCTGATCTGTTTTTGATGGTCCCTGGGTCTGGTCAGGGCCCCGAGAGGCCCCAAATCGCCAAAGACCTTCTGCCTTGATTTTGCACGACGCGAAGATGTCATAGCAGGCTGAAGCCTCTAGAAACACACACTCCGCCAGACCCAGGCGGACCTACCGCTCACAGTCAGGGGGTCCAGTGCCTGCGGGGAAGGCGCCTGCGGACGTACCGACAATATTTGTTTTTGCTATTTTTGGGGGGCGGGGGGGGGGGCGGGGGCGGAACAAAAACGAGCAGCGTCGCTCCACCAGGCCCCCAAGACGCTCCAAGACCGCTCCAAGAGACGCCCCCAAGAGGGCCACGGCAGGCCAACAAACATCGTCCCAGCCCCTTCGGACAACGTACATTATTAGCATGTCCGTTTCTTTCGATCACCACAGCGTCCAAAACAGCCCAAGGAGGCTTCAAGACGGCTCCACAGGGCTCCACCACGGGCCAGCAGCGCCCCAAGACGTTTTGTTTTATTTTCCGCAGGAAGGAGGGGAAAAAGCAGGACCCCGAGACGGTCCAACCGCTGCTTTGAAAGCCTCTGTCGCGGAAACCTACCGGATGTCGCGATGCCGTGTGCTCGCGGGCCGCCGTCACGGAAGGGCCTTGGAACCCTTGGGGAGCAGAGTGCAAGCAAGACCAATCAACATCGAACTGGCGAATTGGATCGAATATGATTTTTTTTCTTCAGGAATGTTGTCGGATCGGGCTCGTCAGATCGGGCTGCATCAGCACGGACTCGAAATCGAACAGGATCGGCCGCGCCAAGGCGCGCCACAACGCCATGCAAACATTGGGATACATCGGATCGCCCAGAAATCGAAGTAGAATCTGATCGAGCCAGGCGAAATCGGTTTCAAACAGGATCGGTCGAATCGACATGGGCCGTGAGAAGGCTAGATAACCAGCTAGTGGTTTTCTTGCTCAATGCTACGGAAACCCAAGCTCAAAGAGAAACGCAAGCCTGGCACGCCAGACACGGGTACGGACAAATCGGCACGATGCCCGACAACACATGCTGTCCAAAACGGACAGGGGCCGCTTTTGTTCGGAGACAAGCGGCAAAGGACAAAGGGGGGTGATATGTTGTCGCGCCGTTTGTTCTCGACGCGCCCTAGAGGACGACGCCGACACCACGGCAAACCCACGGCAAGCCCCGCGCCTCGCGCCCAAATAGACGCAACAAGCGCCGCGGCAAGCCCCACGGCAAGCCCACCGCGTCCGAGGCGGCGTTTGTCCTGGTGGCCACGGCATCCTCCCCAAGACGCAAGGCCACGCGTCGGAACAAGCGGCGCGGCGACATATACGGGCTTCGAATACCCCGGGACGTGCGCGTGAGGCGCGCCATATCGGGACTAGAACCACGCGGGCGCTTCGCGCGCGCTTAGGTTCCAGTCGCCCCCTCGGATGCTGCCAGCGAGCATCGGATCAATCCCGCGATGTGTCTTCGAGTTGGTGGCCGCTTGCGCTGGCTTGAGCTTCGGACGGTCACTGCGAGGATGAAAGATGGGCATGAAAGCCAAGAGGAATCCAGCCGTGGCGACGAGGTGTCCCCGAAGGAGCAGAGGTACAGAAACACCGAAAAACAAGAAACACCCCGTGCGCAATGCTTATGATGCCGCGTCTGTCAGCTGGTCAGAGCCCAGTGCAAAGAAGGTGGCTGGGGAATCATTCGGGGCACGGCTGGGCTTTGTCAAAATGAGCGTTGGGGCTTCGCCAGGGGCGATGACGGTGTCCACCTGGGATGTCATGGCCCTGTCGTGCTGTCTGTGGCTTCTTTGGCGGCCGCTTGGAAGCTGTTAGGGGGTCGGGTCGGATGCCTCTCCATCTCTTCAACCTCTTGCCTTCGTCCTCCGCCCCGTCCTCCGCATCATCCGTTATCCTTCTCCTCTCCTCGACTCGAACGGTGATCCCAGAGGAACGTCTGGGCACGTCCATTCGGATGTTCCCCGAGAGGGCTCCAGAAACTCAGACTCTAAGGTTAGGGGCGTTCACCAAGAAGTCTCTAATGTCTGTCCTCCCCATGCCTTTTGTCTACTTCCGCCGACCTTCCGCCGCCTTCCCCCGGGGAAGATATGCCAATTCCTTCGATCATCGGCGGCGAGGTCCTTTCTGGAACGCCCCCCCCCCCTCTATGTGTGTGTATACATGTATGCATGCATGTATGTATGCATGCATGTGCATATGCATACATACATATACATGTGCACACA